GAAAAACATGTTTTTGCCATGTGTGGTTTGTCCTTGTGGTTGGCCACTTTACTCATGTGACTCTTCTTAACCCTCAAAATATAACTAGTCTGTTTCCAGGTAAGATTCTGCACAGAGCCTTATCAGTCTAAGACAGAAGTGCATTGCTTTTGATAATGCACTTTCTATGATGGGTAAGGAAGGCATTCATGTCAGAATGACCTAAGACAGGCTCAGTCTTGTTTATGAAATAAAAAAGGAGAAATGGAGAACTTTTGAGGCTGCTTGGCAAGAATCTGCCATTGGCCAATGACAAGGAAATGGGCAGCTTGACAGGAATATGACATTGGCGAAGGACAAGGAAGTGGGCTTCAGGCAGGAATCTGACATTAGGCTAGAACAAAGAAGTAATTACAGGAAGAAATCTAAATCTTAGGCTAGAACAAAGAAGTAATTTCAGGCAGGAATCTAAATCTTAGGCTAGAACAAAGAAGTAGGCTTCAGACATGAAAAGGACTTTGGGCTAGGACAGCGAAGTAGGCTCAGATATTTTGGTCATCCTGATAAGCCCTTAGAAAGAATGTTCCTGGGAATGATCATAGAACTTTGTTTATTGCCTTGCTTGTTCTTTGACTATTTGTGTTTACTGTCTTGCTTGTTCCTTGACTATTTGCATCTATTGTATTGCTAGTTCCTCAACCTAGAACTGACCTTAATTAATACTTGCATGTAATTAAAATGGTATAAAAGCAAAAAGGAGGAGAGAGGATGGGATAGAGGTTTTCTGGGGTTGGGGAAATGGAGAAAGGGGATGGCATCTGAAATGTAAATAAATAAAATATCCAATAAAAATAACTAAATTGTCTGTTTCTCTGAATAAAGTTGACTATTGCATGAGACTTTAGTCACCTCACTTTTAGGTCTTGCTCCCCCAGGTTCATGCCACAGACTAGAGTGGTAAAACAGCTGATCATAAAGCCTTTCTATTGCAGCAATGGAAAATTTTTTTGGCTCTATACATGATGATAAGTTTAGTTCATTAATTCAATAAAGCAATGAAAACTTTTGCTACTATGTTCGTGATTGTTTGAGATAAAGATACATCCCCTGTCCTCAAGAACTGAGGTTTATATGGAAGCAATTACATGACCCTAAAATACCAAGATAAATGTAATAAGGGGAGCAAAATTTTATAGAAGCAAAACTCTTTCAAAGGAAGTTAAGGAGAGGACAGAGGTTCAAGTCACAACTGTAGAAAAGAGGCAACATTTCAAAGAGAAGGTATAGCATACATGAAAGCATAGAAGGGCGAGACAGGAAGGATAGTTTTTAATGTCCTCTCTTTTATCCCTTGTGTCTGGAGGCCACATCTTCACTCTTTTTTTTTCTTTTCTTTTTTAAAGATTTATTTATTTATTTTATGTACACCATTGCTGTCTTCAGACACATCAGAAGAGGGCATTAGATCCGATTACAGATGGTTGTGAGCCACCATGTGGTTGCCGGGAATTGAACTCAAGACCTCTGGAAGAACAGTTGGTGCTCTTAACTGCTGAGCCATCTTTCCAGCCCATCTTTATTCTTTGTCTGTTTCCTATGTTTATTGTTGTGTTTTATAAAAATATAAGGAAGAGAAGGAATATGTTTGGTGGAAGTGCAGTCAGGTGTTGGGGAAGGGGGTGCCTTTGTGGGCCCATGCTGAGGCATCTCTTTCCCCTGAGGGCTAGCCACATGGATGGTGTAGTATAGTTTATTCAGGGCATCAGGGCAAAGAAAAGGGAGTTGAGAGAAGGCAGAGAGAGAGAGAGAGAGAGAGAGAGAGCAGCTCCTTTTATAATGAGTCAGGCACACCTGGCTATTGCCAGATAACTGTGAGGAGGAGCCCAGGCTAAATCCCAACATGCCTATGTTTTGGTTTAATTAAAAAAGGAAAAAATTAGAAGGAGGTGATGGTGGAGCAGGAGTAAAGTCATTGTGATCTTTAGCTACTTCCTGCTGATTTGGGGGCAATGTGTCTCTGGGGAACCTAGGAAAATGAGTGTGGGGATGTTGGTCCAGTCTTAGGAGAATTGGCTGTTTCCTTGGTGTCCAAGGTCTGTGGAATTATCTATGGGTAGATCAGAAGGAGCAGGTCCAGTAGAAGAGTTTGTGTCTGTGAGAGAAGATTGGAACATCTTGTGGTTGCTTCTCTGGAGCTGTCCTGGATATAGTAAATGCCTGGACTTGACAAGATGCTGAAACACACACACACACACCACACACGCGTGTTTGGGAGAAAGAAATTTTTTCTTAGGTGTACATTTGAAACCCTGAGTTCTTGGTAGTTGGGGGAGAGATGAATCCCAATCCCAGGAACAGGAGAAGAATAGGTAAGTGTATTTATCTGGATGGAATCTATTTGGTCCATGAGAGATAGATCTGAGTGGTTTCCTGTATATTTGAACCCTTAGGTCTTAGTGGTTGGGATGAGGGAGTCCCAATTCCAGGAACAGGAGAGGAATCCTACCCTCTGGAGTAGGTAGAAAGTGGGAACTTTAGGATACTGATAAGCAGATGTACTTATCTGGATGGAGTCAGTTTGGTCCATGAGAGGTAGGTCTGAGTGGGTTTCCTGTAGCTTATAAGTTTACAGAAGATATACATTTGTTAACAACATGGACAGTCTTTAAGATAAGCTTAGAGAAGACAAAAACCTTTCATGGAGCAGAGGGAACTAAAAGGGCTTTTTCCTTCTGTCTAGGCGACTGAATATACATAATGAGAAACAATTTTAAGTTCATAATTGAGAGGCAAAGGACACTCAAAACTTTGACCTTGTAGATATAGTTGATCATATAGTTTAACTTGAGAAATGTAAAAGACAAAGAAAACTTAAAATTTTAATTTGTGACTATACAGTTGGATCATATAGTGGAATCTTTTGTTAGGGTTAGGCAAATTTATAAGAACTCAAGTAGTGTTAGGACAGTGGCATAGCAAGAAGAGGAAATATGAAGCATTTAGCTACTGGAAACTTGAGTTTTAGGTAAGGAAGTAACAGGTGACATCTGTGAAAACTTACACCTGAACTTGTGTATCGTTTATCGTGAAGCCTGAGAGCAAGGAAGACCTGTCTGTCTTTGATAAGAGATCTGGTAGTTTTAGCTAGTGAATAGATTTATCAGCTAGCAAATAAGATGACTACCTTAGGGTAAGGAGTTAGATCTGTTTTCTAGCTGTCAAGCTACAGTTACTTTAGCTGTCAACGTAGTCAGAAATCTGGGAAAGAATAAATTATATTTTACGAGTCATGTATTAGTTAAAAATGACAGAGTTTTATCTATGGTACACTACCTAAACAGTTTCCAGGTCCCTGTGGTCTCCAAGGCAACTTGGGTGGAGTCAATCTGGCTTTCAAGCCCAGAAGATGAAAAGCTTTTTCTCTGTGGAATAGATGTGCGAAATGAGAAATGATTCACCTTGACTCAGGCAGTATGAGACATTTGACTCTCAGGGTATCTTGTTTTGTGCACAGTATAGACCAAGCCCTGGCAGTGGGCAAGGCAACAGCAGTGTTGCTCAATGGTTATCATACCACAATCCAGGAAGACTCTTGCCGCTGTGTCCATATCTTCTTGGAGACCTTGTGGAGTTTCTGTCAGGCTTTGGGAGTCTCTGCCTGTTACAAGTTTAAATATTACTGAATTTAGCAGATTTCTGACAAGATTGAGAGGAGTATCTATTAAGTATAATCTATTAGACAATCAATAGAGTACCTATAACTTAATGGCAGTAGCAAAAACTGGTAAACATATACTTATAAAAGGTAGTGATCTTTAACCATATATTGTTTAAAAGTCATTATCAAGGCTGCATAGATCAAAACCCTTATCTTGTTAAGTGACTTTTATAGGTTGCATTAGCAGAGGAAAACACATGAAGACACACATACAGAGACAAGCGGCAGTTTTGACTAGTGTACACTTGGCTTAGAGTTGATGTGGATCAGAATGGAAAGAAACCAGAAAGCTGACAGTGGTGGCATGAGATCATGGCATGGGGACTGAAAGTGAGTGTGTATGGGTGGATTCAGTCCTGCGCTACAGACTGAGCTGGTCGAGTTGAGAGCGGTGTATGCCATGGGAACCGGCTGGGGTTGTTAGGAGCACCAAGCAGCCCTGGCTCTGCTCTGTGGACTATGGGCAAGCAGCACCGATCCCTCAGGAAAGAACTGAGAATGTTCCATTTCCGACCTGTGCTGGTTCACAAAGTGAGAAACGGTACATACGCACGCACAGCTGAGGCACCAGGCACATCCATGCTGCATCCTGGGCTAGACACACGTGCTCATAGCCTGAAACCTGCAGGCCTCAAGGAGCGCCACAATAGGCCAGACAGCGTGGGGGCCTATCTCTGCCCTCGCTGTCCAGGGGAGACGACAGGACAGCAGCAGCAAAGACAGCGCAGGGCTGTGTGTGCACTCATGCCTACAGCATGAAACGCCAGCTGGGTAGGGCAGTGGCAGAGGTGGTGGAGTGGAGTCCCAAGCAGAGGGGGGGAGGGGCAGGGGGAGGGGGAGGGAGAGAGGGAGAGGAAGAGGGAGAGGGAGAGGGGGAAGAAAGGGGAGAGGGAGAGGGGAGAGAAAGGAGAGAGGGAGAGGGGAGAAAGAGGAGAGAGAAGAGAGAGGGGAGAGAGAGGAGAGAGAAGAGAGAGGGGAGAGGAGAGGAGTGAGAGAGGAGGAGAGAGGGGAGGAGAGAGAGGGGAGAGAGAAGAGAGGAGAGAGAGAGGAGTAGAGGCTGGCCATGAGCATGTGGAGAGAGAGGGGGGAGGGAAACGGGGGGAGAGGGAACAGGAGGGAGAGGACAGAGCTAGAGCAAGAAGGCAAGAGAGCAAGAGAGAGAGAGAGGATGGGTGAGCAGCCCTGGTTACAGTGAGTCAGGCACACCTGGCTGTGCCAGGTAACTGTGGGGTGGAGCCTAGACTGAATGCCAACATGCCTATTGGGTTTTTGCAAAATGTAAGTTTATTTTGTTGTTTTACAGGATAACCTCACACCACTCTTGCTTGCTCTCAGGGAGAACAGACTGAAGATGGCACAATTCTTAGTAAAGATGGAAGCAAGTGTGCATGCAGTTGACTCACATAGGAGGTAGAGTCGCTTGATTCATAAAACCTTTCAATGGATGCAGCCATGCACATGAAAATAGTACACTAATAGGAACACTAAGATTAACTTACAGAAATATACTGGAAAGCAACATATATTAAATGTTAGGTAGGATTACTTTATTTATATTTATTTATTTATTTATTTATTTATTTTTGAGACAAGGTTTCTCTGTGTAGCTCTGACTGTCTTAGAACTCTGTCTTTACTCAGAAATCTACCTGCCTCTGCCTCCCAAGGGCTGGAATTAAATACGTGCGCCACCACTCCCAAATTAGAATTTCAGTAACTTAGAGTGAGTGATATATAAGGTTCATATTCTTCTTATTAATATTGACTGATTTCTTTAGTTTTTAATCTGATATTAGTACATATAATCTTGTATTAGCCAAAATGTATTAATCTTGTTTTAATACACCTTTGTTTAGAAAATTATATATTAAATATAAAAGTAAAAAAAAATCATTGTATGTTAGTTACCTTTCATATAGGTATACACGACAGAGGCAAATTAATGGAGGGAAGATTTATTTTGGGTCAAGACCTCAGAATGCATTCTTTATCTTGGCAGAGAAAGCATTCCATAGTATCCCCGTGATTGGGAGAATGTGGGAGAACTCCCCAACACCCTAAGGTCTCCACTGTAACTTAGACGTCAGTTACAACTCAAAATAAAACTCAATTACGAGATCTATGCAGGAAATTCCAGCCTGCTATTCATTGCCTGGCCTCATAGGTTTATATTTTTTTCTCCTGAAACCTTGGTGTAAATCTCCACAATCCTATGACGTTTGCATTCTTTATGTCTCAAACCAGCACCACATGGATGATGTCATGTTTTGCTGCCATACTGATAGCCAGCGCTCTACAGGTCTTGGCTAGTATCACTTCCCAGTGTTGTATGGCTGAGTCAGGGAAAACACATCTCCAATACATTAAAAATGTAATAATACACATGAAGAGTGGTCGTAAGACTATTCATAAGAGAGCTGGCTGGGGTGTTGCATACTTTTAATCCTCTTACTCAGGAGACAGAGGCATGGGCAGAGACAGAGTTTGACGTCAGCCTGATCAACATAGTGAAACATTCATATTGAGTCCCTGATTGAAAAAATGTTTATATATGTTTTACCTCAGTGCCTGTCAGCATCATTAACTGAAGGTTATTGTTGTGCCAGGAATTGTTCATTAATCCCAAAAGGCCCAAAAGGAGCTGACTCCAATGCAAGTGCATCAGGGTTTCTTTATCACAAGCTGGAGCTTGGGCCCCTGCCAACCCTGACACAGCAGGCTGGGAAGGTGAGGCCCTGAGCTTAGTTTCAGGAAAGCATTTATAGAGGCAAGAAAACAAGCAAGGGGATTTCTAACCTGGCACACATTTGATTGGGGGGCCATTATGGCCTTTAACATAATTGACTGCTGCTGGAGCCAAACTGTAAACTTAGCTTCTGCTTTTTTCCTGATTTGTGGTTGTTAGGAAGTGAAGTGCCAGGGGAAGGCTTGTAACCTGGAGGTTTAGATCTGTTGGGGAGTAACCTGGAAATCGGTGCTAGGTGCCAGCTTGTTAGTCAACCTTAGGTTAGGTTCTCTAAAATGGAATCTGAACCTGAAAGATCTGGTCTCTCGTTATAACTATCTTTGCCACTATTATCAATATAATTTTATATTGTTATTGCTATTATATTAATCATACAAATAATATCGCTTACTAGATGTAAGTATAAATTGCAAGACATCACATTAAGCCATGGAATGAATGGGGAAATCTCCTAAATCTTAGTGTACTTCAGATAAAGTTTTCTTAGTACCATAGTTGTCCATCAAAGAACACTGACTTGGGGATCCTCCTATGTAATAGAGTAATGGGAAAGAAGTCTCCTAGAGTGTTACGTCTTTTTAGCTTCGAAGATAACTTATAGTGTTGAATACTAGATCTCACAAAATAATTATGTCTATTAATAATTTTATACAGTTGAGCAAGCTAATTGGCAAAGTGTATCCAATACTTTTTAAATGTAAGTAACTTATTAAGGTTTTATTTATTAAGGTTTATTTTATTAAGGTTTTATTTATTTATTATTAAGGTTTGTAACTGAAGTTATTTTTATTTTAGAAATTCTCTCATGTATGCTGTAAGATGCGACTCGCCAGTTATGGTCAACCTTATTCTTCAACAAGGTGTCGACATAAATTTGAAAGATTTATTTGGTTGGACTGCTTTACGTTATGCTATTGAAGGTGATCGTGATGTGTAAGTAATTCTAATTAACACTAATTGTTTCAAATCATCACACAGATGAGATTTCATTGTCAGTCTCTGTAGTTTTGAAAATGTGAGTTAGTCCATTTCATCATCTAGAAACCAAGCAAAATGATGGATTACTTAAAAGTAGAAATGGATCCCCAGGTGGGTCAGTCCTTGGATGGCCCTTCCTCCAGTCTCTGCTCCATTTTGTCCCTGTCTTTCCTTTGGACAGGAACATATCTTGGTTAAAAACTTTGAGATGAGTGGGTGGCCCCATCCCTTGACTGAGGGCTGTGCCTATCTACTGGAGGTGTTCTCAACAAGTTTTATCTCCCCTTTGCTGCACTAAAGTTATCCTCATTGGGTCCTGGGAGCCTCTTGCTTCCCTGAAGTCTGGGACTCTCCAGTGGCTAACCCCAGTTCTTCATTCACCACTGCTACATATTTTTATTTGATTTTCTGACCCTGTGTACCTCTTTCCTGTCCCCTCCAGTACCTGATCCTACTCCCTTTTTTTCCCTCCCCCTCCTCTCTCCCTTCCAGGTTCCCATTCCCTCCACTTCCTGCAATCATTCTGGTCCCCACCTCTAGGCAAGACTGAAGTATCCACACCCTGGTCTTCCTTCCTCCTAAGCTCCATATGGTGGGTTGTACGTGGGCTTTGTGAGCTTTTGGGCTAATATAAACTTATCAGTGAGCACATACCATGTGTGTTCTTTTGTGATTGGGTTACCTCACTCAGGATGATATTTTCTAGTTTATCCATTTGCCTGCAAATATCATGTAGTCATTGTTTTTAGTAGCTGAGTAGTACTCCATTGTGTAAATATACCATATTTTCTGTATCGACTCTTCTGTTGAGGGACCTCTGGATTCTTTCCAGCTTCTGGCTATTATAAATAAGGCTGCTATAAACATAGTGGAACATATGTCCTTATGATATGTTGGGGCATCTTTTATGTATATACCCAGGAGTGGTATAGATAGGTCTTCAGGTAGAAGTATTTCCAATTTTCTAAGGAACCACTAGATTGATTTTCAAAGTGGTTTTACCAGCTTGCAGTCCTACCAGCAATGGAGGAGTTTCTCCACATCCTTGCCAACATCTGCTGTCACCTGCAGTTTTGATCTTAGCCATTCTGATTGGTGTGAGGTGGAATCTCGGGGTCGTTTTGATTTGCGTTTCCCTGACGACTAAGGATGAACATTTCTTTAGGTGCTTCTTGGCCATTCAAGATTCCTCAGTTGACAATTCTTTGTTTAGCTATGTATCCCATTTTCTAACAGAGTTATTTGGTTCTCTGGAGTCTAACTTCTTGAGTTCTTTATATATATTGGATATTATCCCTCTATCAGGTGTAGGATTGGTAAAGATCTCCTCTCAGTCTCTTTGCCTTTTTATCCTACTGATAGTGTCCTTTGGCTTACAGAAGCTTTGCAATTTTATGAGGTCTCATTTGTTGATTCTTGATCTTAGAGCATAAGCCATTGGTATTCTGTTCAGGAAATTTTCCCTTTTGCCTATCTGTTCAAGGCTCTTTCCTATTTTTTTCTTCTATTAGTTTCAGTGTATCTGGTTTTATGTGAAGGCCCTTTATCTACTTGGACTTGAGCTTTGTACACAGAGATAAGAATGGATCAATTTGCATCATTCTATGTACTGACCGTCAGAACATCATCATTTGTTGAAAATGTTGTCTTTTTTTCACTGGATGGTTTTAGCTTCTTTTTCAAAGATCAAGTGACCACAGGTGTGTGGGTCCATTTCTGGATCTTCAGTTCCAGTCCATTGATCTTCCTACCTGTCTCTGTACCAATACCGTGTGTGTGTGTGTGTGTGTGTGTGTGTGTGTGTGTGTGTGTGTGTTTATCACTATTGCTCTGTAGTACAGCTTGAGGTCAGGGATGGTCATTCCCCCAAAAGTTCTTTTATTCTTGAGAATAGTTTTTTGCTACCTTGGGTTTTTCATTATTTCAATTGAATTTGAGAATTGCTCTATCTCTGTGAAGAATTGAGTTGGACTTTTGATGAGGATTGCATTGAATCTGTAGATTGCTTTCGGTAAGATGGCCCCATGAGCATGGGAGATCTTTCCATCTTCTGAGGTTTTTCTTTCTTTCTTTCTTTAGAGACTTGTTGTACAGATCTTTCACTTGTTTGGTTAGAGCCAAGATATATTATATTGTTTATGACTATTATGAAGGGTGTCATTTCCATAATTTCTTTCTCAGCCTGTTTATCCTTTGAGTAGAGGAAGGCTACTGATTTGTTTGAGTTAATTTTATATCCGGCCACTTTACTGAAGTTGTTCATCAGATTTAGAAATTCTCTGGTGAAACTTTTGGGGTCACTTAAGCATACTATCAGATCATCTGCAAATAGTGATATTTTGACTTCTTCCTTTCTAATTTGTATCTCTTTGATCTCCTTTTGTTGTCTAATTGCTCAGGCTACAACTTTGAGTACTATATTGAATAAGTAGGCGGAGAGTGGGCAGCCTTGTCTTGGCCCTGATTTTAATGGGATTGCTTTGAGTTTTTCTCCATTTAGTTTGATGTTAGCTACTGGTTTGCTGTATATTGCTTTTATTATGTTTACATAGAGACCTTGAATTCCTGATCTCTCCAATACTTTTAACATGAAGGGCTGTTGTATTTTTTCAAGGGCTTTTTCAGCATCTAATGAGATGATCATGTGGTTTTTTTATTTGAGGTTGTTTATCTAGTAGATTACATTTATGGGTTTCTGTATATTGAACCATTCTTGCATTTCTGCGATGAAGCCTACTTGATCGTGGTGAATGATTGTTTTGATGTACTTTTGGATTTGGTTTGGGAGAATTTTATTGAGTATTTTTCCATCGATATTCATAAAGGAAATTGGTCTGAAGTTCTCTTCCTTTGTTGGGTCTTTGTGTGGTTTAGGTATCAGTCTAACTATGGCTTCATAGACAGAATTTGGTAGTGTTCCTTCTGTTTCTATTTTGTGGAATAGTTTGAGAAGTATTGATATCAGGTTTTCTTTGAAGGTCTGATAGAATTCTGTACTAAAACTTTCTGGTCCTGGGCTTTTTTTTTTCGGTTGGGAGACTTATAATGACTGCTTCTATTTCCTTAGAGTTATCAGACTGTTTAGATGGTTTATCCAATCCTAATTTAACTTTGGTACTAGCTATCTGTCTAGAAAACCATCATTTTCATCTAGATTTTTCAGTCTTGTTGAGCATAGACTCTTAGTAGGATCTGATGATTTTTTGAATTTCCTCAGTTTCTGTTGTTATGTCTCTGGTTTCATTCCTGATTTTATTAATTTGGATTCTGTCTAGTTCCCTCTAGTTAGTTTGGCTAAGAGTTTATTTATCTTGTTGATTTTCTCAAAGAATAAGCTTTCAGTTTTGTTGATTCTTTATATAGTTCTTTTTGTTTCTATTTGGTTGATTTCAGCCCTGAATTTGATTATTTCCTGCAGTCTAGTCCTCTTTGGTGTATTTGATTCTTTTTGTTCTAGAGCGTTCAAGTGTGCTGTTAAGTGACTAGTGTATGATCACTCCAAGTTGTTTTTATAGGCACTCAGGGCTATGAGTTTTCCTCTTACCACTGCTTTTTCTTGTATCCCACAAGTTTGGATATGTTGTGCCTTCATTTTCATTAAATTATAAAAAGTCTTTCATTTCTTTCTTTATTTCTTCCCTGACCAAGTTATCATTGAGTAGAGAGTTGTTCAGCTTCCATGTGCATGTGGGATTTCTGTTGTTTTTGTTGTTATTGAAGACCATCCTTAGTCTGTGTGGTCCAGTAGAATACATGCGATTAATTCAATGTTCTTGTATATGAAGTTTGTTTTGTTTGGTCTATTTTTGAGTACCATGAGGTGCTGAGAAAAAGGTATATTCTTTTGTTTTTTGGAAGAAATGTTCTGTATTTATCTGTTAAATCCATTTGGTTCGTAATTTCTGTTAGTTTCACTGTGCCTTTGATTAGTTTCTGTTTCCATGATCTGTCCATTGGTGAGAGTGGGGTGTTAAAGTCTCCTACTATTATTGTGTGAGATTCAATGTGTGCTTTGAGCTTCAGTAATGTTTCTTTTACAAATGTGGGTACCCTGCATTTGAGGCAGAGATATTCAGAATTGAGAGTTCATTTTGGTTGATTTGTTTTTTATGAGTATGTAGGTTCCTTTCTCATCTCTTTTGATAACTGTTGGTTGAATATCTATTTTATTGTTTATTAGAATGGCTACTCCAGCTTGTTTTTTAGGACTATTTGCTTGAAAAATTGTTTCCAACCTTTTACTCTGAGGTAGTGTCTGTCTTTGTCACTGAGGTGTGTTTCCTGTATGCAGCAAAATGTTGGGTTCTGTTTACCTATCCAGTCTGTTACCCTATGTCTTTTTTATTGGACAGTTGAATTCATTGATATTGAGAGATATAAAGTCCAATGACTGTTGCTTCCAGTTATTTTTATTGTTGAGGTGGAATTATGTTTGTGTGTTTCTTTTGTGTTTGTTGTGAGAAGATTACTTTCTTGCTTTTTCTTGGGTGTAGTTTCCCTCCTTGGGCTAGAGTTTTTCCTTCTATTATCCTATGTAGGGCTGAATTAGTTAAAATATTATTTAGATTGGTTTTGTCATGGAATACCTTGGTTTCTCCATCTATTGTAATTGAGAGTTTTGCTGGGTATAGTTACCTGGGCTGGCATTTTTGCTCTCTTAGGGTCTGTATGCCATCTGCCCAAGATTTTCTGGTTTATGGAGTCTCTGTTGAGATGTCTGGTGTAATACTGATAGGTCTGTCTTTATATGTTACTTGACATTTTTCTCTTACCACTTTTAATATTTTTTCTTTGTTCTATGTATTTGGTATTTTAATCATTATGTGATGAGAGGAGTTTCTTTTCTGGTCCCATCTGTTTGGTGTTCTGTAGACTTCTTATATGTTTATAGGCATCTCTTTCTTTAGATTAGGGAAGTTTTCTTTAATTTTATGAAGATGTATGCTGGACCTTTCAGTTGGGAATCTTTACTCACTCTACACTTATTATTCTTAGGTTTGATCTTCTCATCGTGTCCTGGATTTCTTGAATGTTTTGAGTTAGGAGTTTTTTGCTTTTTGTATTTTCTTTGTTGTGTCCATGTCTTTTATTGTATCTTCTACATCTGATATTCTCTCTTTTATCTCTTATATTCTGTTGGCGATACTTGCATTTGTGACTCCTGCTCTCTTTCCTAGGTTTTCCATCTCTAGAGTTGTCTCCCTTTGTGTTTTCTTTATTGTTTCTATTTCCAGTTTTAAATCCTGGACAGTTTTGTTCAATTCCTTCACTGGTTCAATTATGTTTTCCTGTATTTCTTTGATAGATTTATGTATTTCCTCTTTAAGATCTTCTACTTGTTTACCTGTTTTTTCCTGTATTTCTTTAAGGCAGTTATTTATGTCCTACTTAAAGTCCTCTATCATCTTCATGAGATGCGAGTTTAGATCTGAATCTTGCTTTTTAGGTGTGTTGGGGTATCTAGGGCTTGCTGTGGTGAGAGAACTGGGTTTTAATGTTTCCAAGTAGTATTGGTTTCTGATGTTTATATTCTTGCACTTGCCTTTTGCCATCTGGTTAGCTCTGGTGTTAACTGGCCTTGGTGTCTCTGCTTGAGCCTTTCCCTCCTGCAAGTCTGTGATCCCATGATCCTGTGATCCTGTGCTCCTGTGATCCTGGATGTGTCAGAACATTTGGGGGTTAAGCTGCATATGGGTGTGGCCTGAGTGGGTGGGGAACCAGAGTATAGGCTCCACTACAGTTGCAGGTGCAAACCAGAAGGAACATGAGTCTCTGGCTGGGTGGGGTCCCTGAGTTCCCTGGGTCTTCACCTCTTTATATTTTTATGTAGCTAAGTCTTCATAGTAACTTGAGCTAAAGCAGTAAAGTATTACTTTTAGAAGTCTAAGAGTTTTATTATCAGAGACATGGTATCTAGCCATAGCTGTAGGTCATGAAGTGTCAACTGTCTCGGTGGTTATAGTATGTCCCAATGTGTCAGGATAACTTGGCTGTGAGTCTCTGCATCTGTTCCTACCACAATGCACTTTCATTCCTTTGTATCTATAAGCCATAACCAACCTTCCATTTTATCTGTTGCCTTGGCTGTAGTATTTTATTACTATAGAAAAGTAACTAATGCAATATGTGCTGCCTTTATTCATCACTATTTCTTTGTAATTTACTTATCTATGTAAAAGCTTAATAAAAATATTCTCAAGTTCACAGTTCTGAAGACTATACCAACACACCCTGATTCCACCTGAAACACTCTTAATAATTTAGTGTGTCTGGCATGGTTTTCAAACCAATATTAAAGTAATGATTACATGTACCACATTTTTTTGTATGTGGCAGGAGGACAATACTTTTGGAGTATGAGTATAACCTGATACAAAGCTTAAGAGAGAGAAATCAAGGTAAGATCTCTTGGTAATTGTATTCCAGAAGTAATGTCAGGGTAAGGAAATTCTAACTCAAAAAAATTTCAAAACTAACTGTAAGTTGCCTTTATTTTTTCTTTCTAGTTTAGAGTTCAGAATTATGAAGAAATTAATTGTATGAAATTTTCAATCTTAAATGACATTATTTGAGGAGAAAAATGAACTAATTTTGGCACTTAAAATATTGTATGTCCTTGTATATACAAAAAAGATCCCCCAAATTAGTATATATAATAGTAACTGTCACATTGTAGCAAATTGGGCATGTTTTAAAATGGGTTTTAATTGTTTATAAGAATATATTGTATCACATAGTTGAATATTATTTACTTAGTAATATGTGTCATGAAGCATGAATAATGTTAAAGCATTTTGATGTTTTCTTTCCTGTATTGTTAGTCAAAAAATTCAACTTTCTGTGTTTTCAAACTATTCAATCTAGACTATAACACTCATTTACTATTTCTATGGTTTTGTATATTTTTTTTAATAGTTGCACATGAATATACTGTGTTTTTATCAAACATCTATTTCTTCTGCTTCCTCAAATTTATTTATTCCTCACATGTAACTTCCATAATTTTCACTTTCCAGTTTCATGTGTATCCTTTCCTGTTTCAATATCCAATGAGTCCATGTAGTGCTGCTGTACATGCATGGGTGTGGTACCATCTACTAGAGATGGGTAGCTTCTCAGAGCCAACATCTCTGAGGAAAACTGACTCTTCCTCCAAAAGAAGCCACAAATGCCAGTAGCTCTTTGGTAGGAGTGGGACCTGCATAGGATCAAGTTTGTGATTTTTAAATGTCTCCACTTCAGGTGACTACCTCTTGTGATAATATACAGAAACACTAGGCTGACTAAATGTATATTACATTAAAACATCATTAATTTTGTCAGGGAATTGAATCCAGATTGCCATTCTCGGCAAGTGCTGTAAACCGCTAGCTATTTAAAGCAATTCCATTAAAAACAGGAATGACACGGGGTGTCCATTATCCCCACACATTTTTAATATAGTTCTTAAAGAACTAGTAAGTATTATAAAACAAGAAAAAGAAATTAAAAGGATACAAATAGAAAAAGAAAAAGTTAAATTGTTCCTATGTAAAGATGACATGATAGTATATGCAAGAGATCCCCAAAATTCCACCAGAAAACTTATAGAAGTGATCAACAATTTCAGCAAAGTGGCAGGATACAAATATCAACTTAAAAAATCAGTAGCTTTCCTCTATGTCAACATCAAAACACTCTGAGAAAGAAAGGATGGAAACACTCCCATTTACAATAGCCTCAAGTTCAAGGCCAGCCTGGTTTACAGAGTGAGTTCTAGGACAGCCAGGGCTAGACAGAGAAACCCTGTCTCGAAAAAAACAAAAACAAAACAAATCAAAACAAAACAAAAAACCCTGATAGACTCAAAAACCTGAAGTATCTAGGAATAAACCCAACTAAGAAAGTAAAACTTTTACAATGAAAACATTAAATCTTTGAAAAAAGAGTTTGAGGAAGAAACTAAAAAAACGGAAAGCCATTTCATGCTCATGTTTTGATAGAATTAGTATTGTGAAATTGGCCATTCAGTCTAAAGCAGTTTTCAGATTTGATGCGATCCCAATAAAATTCCCATCTCATTCTTCCAATAAAAACCCTAACATCCATATTGATCCACAAAAGGCCCAGATAGCCAAAGTAATCCTAATTCAAGCTTTTTTTTTAATATTTAGGATAACCTTGGTTATAGTTTTAGGTAGAATAGAATATTCCCTTATATGTATAAGGGAAAACCCGCCAGAATAACAGCAGATGATTTCTCTGTGGAAACTTCAATAGCTAGAAGAGTCTCAAGCAGTGCATACCAAGACCTGAAAGATCTTGGATGACAACATAGACTATTGTACCCAGCAAAACTATCTACCACAGTTGAAGGAGAATGAGAAATTTGCCACGATACAAACAGGCTAAATATTTTATGCCCGCCAAATCAACTTTATACAGGATACTGGAAACAATACTTCAGAGTCAAGAGAGAAATGCACATAGCCAGGAGAATATAGACATAAAGCAAATGAAACTCATGGAGATTAAACACTCATCACTGAGTGAGGAACAGATCAAAGTAAAAATCAAGACAAACGTAAAAAAAATCTTGAACTAAATGAAAATGAAGACACAATAAAACCAAGCCTCTAGGACACACTGAAAGCAGTACTATAAGGGAAATTCATAGACGTGGGTCCCTACAGTAAAACTTCAGAAAGAGCACAAATAAACAACTTAATAGTGCAACTCTAGAATTTGGAAAACCCCAAAGAAACCAAACTCAGGTCTACTAGACTCCAAAAAATAATAAAAATTAGTCCCAAGTGGTGGTCTGCCCTGGTTCCCAAGGTTAGCTGCTGCAGAACTGTGCACATTTCCCAAGCCATCCATTCACCCCCTGTAACTAGCCTGCCCAAACTGGCTGCTGCTAGCTGCTTTAATTCCCTAGCCCTGTAAAATGAAAACTCCAGAGGCTTGTAATTTACCAGCCAGATTTATAACAGTAAATCCTCAATCCCCAAAATGCCCACACAAAGAACTCAAAACTCAATTGATATAGACACAAGCTGCACATGTAGATTGGACAGATGTGCCCTACATTACTCAGTCGTCTATCTATAAAGTTCCCAGTTACTTATGGCTCCTAGGACCACATGGTCTGGCTCAGCATCCTCTCCTTCATGTACCATCTTGTTTCTCCCGTCTCAGTCTGTTTCCATTTCTCTCTCTCTCTCTCTCTCTCTCTCTCTCTCTCTCTCTCTCTCTCTCCCCTCTTTCCCCTCTCTCTCTCTTTCTCTCTCTCTCTTCTTTCTTTCTCTCTCTCTAAAACTTTCCATTCCACCTTCTTTTTCCACTGCCAAATTATGGGACTTATCTGACTAATAAGATTTCATCTGACCTCACCTGCATACAGGCTCCCCTGTTGAGGGGACAGAAAAAACAGACAGCAATCTACATTTCCCCCCTTTTTGTCCAATTAAAAGGCTCTTTTCTCTCAGATATAAATTTAGCACAACTATTACCATTCTATAATGTATGAAGTATAAGATACACCTAATACCAAGTCCATCATTTTTTGTCAATTAAATAAAGCACTCTACCATCTATCCTAACGTAAAAAGGCTTATAATCTATACCTGTTACGTCCGGGTTTAGTTTGTATACTACCTGAAAAATATCTTCATATATATATATATTCTCTCAATGCTGAATAGCTTGAGTTGGCTAAGAGATATGATTAGTCTTTCATCCTGCCAGAATTCAGAGAGTGACATAAAATTTACCTGAAAATACAGGAAGCACTAACATAGCTTCCGAAACTGAAACAAATTATAGAGACAACTATCTACCTACACAGTCCCTTGTTTCTCAACACGTTGGAGCATCAGTCTGTGGCTGTTTGGCCCAGGATAAATTGACAGACGTTTGTAACACAGAATTATGAAGTATTGATTACCCTGTCTTGGTAGAGATTATCTGTATAGTGTGTCCTTTTTCTGGATAGTATTTTTGTCTGTTGATGAATAGGCAATTTTTGCCCAGTGTCTACTTTGCCATGATGTACAACCTCACCAGGATGTATAGATGTTCAGTTTCATTTTGAATTCAAGAATGGGGTGCTGTCAGGAGCAGATTTGTCTCAACAACAACTGATTAAGTAACATTAAATATCATATTCTGTGGATTTCTGATGCGTTTGAAAACTATCTATCTATGTAAACTAATCTGGAGTGTTGTCCTTTAACTACTCTCAGCTATTTCTAATTAAAATCTCTTGAAAAATACCCTAACAATAAACTCAGAGCCAAGACTTTGCTATCTGGCCCTTAACTCATATGCTTAGTCATCTAAAATAAGTTTGTAATGGCAGTTATAGAAGGCCTGGCTATAAGCTTTGTATTCTTAAATTTTTGTATCACTAGAAGAACTTCATACCAATGAAAAACTTAAATCAGTATCAAAATAAATTCTGTACCAAAGTAAGAAATTATAACTTCAACTTTGTAGCAATTATAAAGATTTCTACCAAATAATATTATGACTACACAATCAATTCTAGCTATTTCCTCCCTGTTCAAATTATGACCATTTCTAAATTCCCTAGAAAAACAACCTAGAATAACAACCTCTAGTCCCCCAAACCAAGGTAACCTGGACGACAACTTTTATAACTTCTTCCTGCTGAATTTGGGCATTGAGATATCTTTGAAGGGCGATATAAGGGTAGGACAAATGGGAGAGTTGGTTAGGCATTAAGAAGGCAATGCCAACAATTGTTATTCATCTCTGATGTCTGTGTCCTGATGGCTCTGTCTGAAAATCCATAACAACATGAGCTCAAGCGGGTCAGTTCAGCATGTCTGACAATGAATCTCACCAAAGCTGTACATTCTGCAATATACAAATCTCAAAACAAAATTTAAGTACCATCAAGATATCTTAGAATTATTCCTTGTGTAGTTAGTTTAGAAAATTAAGCTGTTTGCATGACACTGTCAGTTTATGGAAAGAAACTTATTCTGCTAATGGCACCATGGGCACCATGCTCTGTCAGTCTGTTGTGCTCAGCTGTGATTGTGGTTGTAATACATGGCAATCTATTATAAGGCATCACATTTTGACATATTCCATTTTTTTGTATACAATAATGACAAGGAGAAACAATCTTTAATACATCACTTGCTTGCAAGTAATATACCTCATATTGACGGTAGAATATTCTCATGCTTAATACTGCACTTTAAATACTTAACAGTATTATTTTATCTACACAAGGTAACTTGTGTCTTTTCTTTGTTAGCATTTCAGAGTTCTGAAAACTGTTCAATCAGGTAGGACTTGTGAATTTAAGAGATAATGTCAATTGATTATAGAATAGGATGAAAGGAAACTTTGTGTTGCTGTACTTTGTCCATATTGTAAGTTTAAAACATGTTTCTTATTATAGTTATTGAAACATTTGTGCAAAAGGACCTGTGCTATTATGACATTTCTTTTACTTAAGCAACCACCATTCAGAGTCTGATTAACTGTTCTATCAAGTCATGATTAACAAGTATTCAGCTCATTATGTATATGTCAGACTACCTCATTCTATAATGAATTATCTTGTTTCTCTTCATAGACTGAAAAGCTCCTATATAGCACAGGGGCAAGAAGATAGATACATATAAAGTCAATTCAGAAAATCAATTATGATTTTATGTTAAATATGCTTTAAAGTTTGCCTAAGAAACACAGTTATAATCCCAAAATGTATCTTAATGCTTAAAAAGAAATACTATTAAAAAGTATCTTTTACCGCACACAAGGTTTTTGGGGCAGATGTCACTTAAGCGTGCCTATGAAGTCACACGTGGTATATAGCAATATCTCCATATTGTGCGAAGAATGCTTTCCTGGATGTGCAGAGTGACTGCATGTGCAGTGTGCATTTAGATCGAGGAGATTTAAACTTGACACACTAATTTCTCAGTTGGCCTTTGTTGCAAACATTCATCTGAGACTAGGAAAATAGTCTTTTTTTTCTTTTCTTTTTTTCTATAACTGCACTTTTTTCTGATTTCATACTTCCCTTCCTTTTTTGTTTGTTTTTGAGACAGGGTTTCTCTGTGTAGCCCTGGCTGTCCTAGAACTCACTGTGAGACCTGACTGGCCTCAAACCCACAGAGATCCACCTGCCTCTGCCTCTTGAGTGTTGGGATTATAGGTGTGCACCACCACTGCCTCACTTATTTTTGCTTTGGTTCATGACTTCTTTTCATGCTCATAGAGGAAAAAAAAAAGCACAAGGATTTCAAGATTCTAAGTATTCTTTGGAAACTAACAAACTGGCCTCTAGCTCATCAACCTGAGCTTTTATCATAGAATGAGTGACTGTTGCGATGGAGAATCTTAGACTTACAGATACTAAAGCAGTATATCTGGGTATAGTAAACATGAAACTCATATTAATTAATTGTAAGGCCAGTTCTCTTATTTATCAGTTTATGGGGTATTTTATAATAGAATGGATCAATGAGTCCAGTCATCCCATAGTAGGAAGATGAAATTAGCAAATGATTGAACAGGGGGAGGTTAATGATGGAATAAATGGGGTAAGGCAAATTTAGAAAGGAAGAATATTGGACTTGATTCAAAGGAACAGGAATTTAGAGCAGAGATCAGGATCCTAGTTTTATGATAAGTTTGATAAAGACAACACAAAACTATAGACATAAGACATTGAAAGTTTCCAGGTAATTCTGACAAATTTGTTCCCTTTGATTGCTTAGTACTAGAAATTGATAAAATTCCCTTTGAAAGTTGTTAATATCACCCAAGACACTGGAGAACGTCTCTATAAAAACTAGGGATGTTGCACTATTTATTTGACCTCATTTTATAGAGAGTGGATTAGAGTCCCTTATGTACCCTGGGCAGGTGTCTTCTCAATGGTACTTCTTTTCCAACTCACTGCTATTCTTCTTATGTATATTCATGGTCAAGATTTACAATTGGTCGGCAAAAGGCCCTTGAACTTAACAGTTGGCACCAGGATGTTGTGAGTTCATGAGTTCAATGGCCTGCTCATGTCCACCAAACACTGTTGGTTGTAGTCCTCACTAATCCCTGGCTTTTATTAGTCTCTCTGTGTCCTCTTGTTCCTTATTTGTGTTGAAGATGTCTCATTTAAGCCTGAGCACTCCACAGACACATACTCTCTGAAATTTGACCATGTGTGAGTCTCTATATCAACCACTTTCTTCTGCAAAGACTCACTTTTCAGATGGAAACTAAGAACTGCACTTTTCTATGGGTCTAGAGACAAATATTTACAAGGAAGTCTGATATGGCGCTCTTAGCAAAATTACATATATTTCTTCCTGTGAGGAGAGCCTTCAATAAATCAGAAAGCAGTTGGTTTACTCATAGGATTATTTTATGCACAGCCATATCATCTTACCTGGCTGTTAATTATTGTTGCCTGTAAGTGTTCACAGCTGGGTAAGACTTTTGCTTTTCTCACCTTGCTGCTAGCATAGGATCTTTTAGTACTATGAAAGCTAGTCAGGAAGAAGGAAGCTTCCTAGTAAGTACCAGCTTGACTTCTTCATTCCCTGTAACCAGAGTATGTGGTGTTCCCTGTGGCCGCAGTCTGTAGTATTCCCTGTGACCACGGTATGTGGTGTCTTCTACAATGGAGTCTTACATACAGTCTGGTGGGCATCTGAGATTAATGGCAATAGCTATATTGGTTTCTTTTTTTTTTGTGGGGGGGGAGTCTCTGGGGTTTCTTTGACCAGCAACTCCAGAGGAAGAATTCTACACACAGAATTGGGATTTTGGTTTGCTAACCTTTAGCCTCTATACAACTCTATTAAACTCTCTGTCTCTGTCTGTCTTTCTCTGTCTCTGTCTCTCTGTCTCTCTCTGTCTCTGACACACACACACACACACACACACACACACACACACACACACACACA